CTTTGGTTCTCGTGCATGTATTTTGCCTGTGATGACTGCCAGCCTGGCAAACTGTACTGTAATGACGACAACGTGCGACCCATCAACAGTGGCTGGTTCTGGGCGGCAAAATCAGCACCGCGTAAGTTCCTTCCGGGATCCGAGTCATCAGAGACCACTGCTCGAGTGGTATTATTTCGCTCATCGGCTCCGGGGTGAGGCTTTATGCGGCTTCATTTTAGATCACTACAGTAGTCTACGGATCGGAGAAACCTAATAGTCCAGCACCTTGGGGTAAAAGGATTGATTCTTGGAAAAAAGCTATAAACAGTTTTGTTAAAATTTACAAGATAACCAGCTGTCTTAAAGGATCAGACGATGACTCTGTCTTAAGACGGCTGTCTTATAGAGTATAAGACCGTCTTAAACATAAGACAGTCATTGTCTTAAGATGGTCATTGTCTTATACATAAGACGGCGTCTGAAACATTCAGGGGGATGTGGAGATTGTTTAGTCATTAAATTATAAAACTACTCCATCCTCCTGACACAAAAAAGACATCGTCTTAAGCATAAGACAATGACTTCTTTAAGACGGTCATCGTCTTAAGTTTAAGACGGCCGTCTTAAGACAGAGTTATTGTCTTATGCTTTAAGACAGCTGTCTGAGTGGGACTCAACTTAAAAGAGTGATTTTCTTTTTTCCAAAAAGAGTTTTTTCAATTGCCTCTGTTTTACCTGGAGGTGCAGTAGACAAACGTGTGAGAGTCAGAGTCGAGTCCTTATTCTTTTAGTTTTACGGTACCGTTTACCGTTACCGTGCCGGTAGGGGCTACATATACCGGTATATAATACCTCAACATTGGTCATTCAGCTTTCTTTAGCGACTGACTGGTCATCTTTCAGTTCGCGATGCCTTTCTTTTCATTTAATTAATTCGAAAAGATCTGGTAATGTAACCAGTGATCAGCACGAGAACCGAGACAAGACGCTGGAGACACTCCTGGACACTGGACAAAAGCACAAACCTACTACAGAAGCTGCCACACAAGCATCTACTGTTATCGGTAGACCACCCATCGAGTCAATCAAGGCATGATCAATCTACTTTTTCTCTTGACTGTTTTTGCCCAACAAACACTCATCATGACTTCTGGATTCGCCTCCCTGACCACCCAGCAGCTGATTGAAGACTTGCCAACCGAAATCGAAAAAGCATCGACGCGCATTGCATCCCACGTTCTTCAAACTCCACTTTTGGAGTCGCCGTATCTGGGTGGAGGAACCTGCCGCGTCTTTCTCAAATTGGAAAGTGAGCAAGTAACGGGATCCTTCAAGGCTCGTGGATCTTTGAACAAGATACTATCGTTGCCGTCCACTGGTACCGGTACAACGACGCTCGTGACATCCAGTACGGGCAACCATGCCCAAGGTTTTGCACGAGCTGTGGGAATCTTGGAGCAGAGGGGTAGCAGTGATAGTGGTAGCATGAGAGGTATCATTTACATGCCGGAAACGGCACAACCGGCCAAAATCAACGCGGTTCGACAATGCTACCCTCACATAAAACTAGAGTTTTATGGTCAAGATTGTTCGAATACCGAAGAATATGCCCTCAAAATGGCTCAGGAACACAATAATTACATTTACGTTCCACCCTACAATGACGTGCATGTTATTGCTGGACAGGGGACCGTCGGTTTGGAGATTCTGGAACAATCATCACGACAAGCTGCAATGATCGACGTGGTTTTTGTCTGCATTGGAGGAGGTGGACTCATTAGTGGAGTAGCCGCCTACTTGAAGGCAAAACGTCCCGGAGTCAAGATTGTGGGATGTCAACCGGAGCGGTCGCCCGAAATGTACCTCAGTGTTCAAAAGGGAGAACTGGTGTATTTGGACAATCCACAACCGACTCTGTCGGACGGATCGGCGGGAGGGATCGAATCCGGATCCGTCACATTTCCCATTTGTCAAGACCTTGTAGATGACTACGTCCTGGTATCGGAAGAGGAAATTGCCGCGGCAATTCGATGGATGGTGGACAAGCATCATAAAATTATAGAAGGTGCGGCCGGAGTGGCGTTGGCGGCCTTTCAAAAGAGTATCCAGGCCAAGCCGCACGAGTACGAGGGGAAGAATGTGGCCATTGTCATTTGTGGATCCAACATTGGAACGGAGGCTCTCACAACAATCTTGACGACGACACCAGCAAAAGGAGAAGAATCATGAGCGTGTGTCGACAAAACGCAAGAGACATCGGGCCGCGTGCGGCTGAAGAAACGAGTCAAATCCCATGAGCAACGGTTTCAATTTCATTGCTGGCTTTGGACCATGACAAAGAGCGTCCTGCTAGCAGTGAAGATCGTTGGTCAAAGGCCATCCGCTCGAGAATATGTATTGTCAACCGAGTCCTTCCTGTCTCCGTTCAAGGCATTCACAACGGCACAAGCTAGTCTAGCAAGAGAACGACTGGGGGACTGCTAAATCGTTATTGTCTTTCCAATGATTGAAGATTATTGTTTCCTAATGATACTTGTTACTGATACTTGTTGCAAATGATCTTTGCGATCGATGGCACCATGTACTTGGGAGTGATACCCATGACACTGAATAAACAGATGCCGGGTCTTCTTTAATTGCAATCACTCACGCTTCCTTCCATGGCTGCCATCAGTCAGCTTTTATTCCAGTTCGTGCAAACACAAGAGGCACCGTCGGATTAGAACAAACCACCACTCCGCATACCCTTGACAAAAGCGTCAAAATCAAGGTATCCTTTGCCCTTTGAATCTATTTCCGCAATAATGAAATTCAGTTGGTCATTGGAACAATGAGAAAAGGCTGGCAAGGCCTGCAGTTCTGCACGACCAATGCGCTTCTTCTTGCGTGTGTCAAAGTGCCTGAAGGCCCTCTTGAGTCGATCATCTGTAAGCAGGTCCTTCTCACTCATGCTGGCCACAGCAAACTCATCATAGTCCAAGGAGCCATCTTGATTCAAGTCACATCTCAAAAAAATGTCTGCCAGCTCTTCATCAGCAAGCGGGGTGTTAAAGGCCAGCAAGAAACCTGCTCTGATTTCAGTGGGTCGTAACCTGCCTTGGTGCAAGATATCCAGCTGGTGAAAGGTATGGTCAATCTTGGCACGCTCCTTTTTGGTGAGCATGTCCGACACCATGAGAGACAAAACAGCTTGCTTGAGCTGAGAGTTGGGGTTATACTTGCGAAGGTTTGACAGCCGGATCATGTTGTCCAGCTTGGCCATGGGGTCTGCCGGTGCATCCATATCCCCAGCAGAAGCCCGTCTTGCACGATTGTGATGATCTTTCTTGCTGTCACTTTCTCTCTTGCCATGATCTCGACGAAACCACTTGTGGCGGAGCACTTTGGAAGCAGTAGAACGCCTTTTACGGTGCGGGTCTGCCTTGTGATCCTGTTCAGGCTCTGTAACAGATTCCGGAACTTGATCGGAGGTGCCAGCGTCACTTTCCCCATCTTCGTCCATGCTGGCATCGTCTCGTCGAAACCACCGATGGCAAATGACTTTTGCTGCAGAAGGGCGCTTTTTGCTCTTGGGATGCAGCAGAGAGTGAATCAAAGACTTGACTTCATCGGAGACATGGGTATCCCGGGGGAAGCGAAGCTTGCTGCTCTTCTCTCTCTTGACAATGTCCTTCTCAGTCTTCTTTGTGCTTTTTGGAAACTTGTCTTGATCCTCTTCAATGCCTTTCTTGATTTTGCGGCCGCTTTCGACAAAGGGCAGCCGGCCAAAGAGCATCTGATACATGATGACACCACAAGACCACATGTCTGCCTTGGTGTCATACTTGGGTTTAGAAGAATTCACTTCTGGAGCTTGATAGACAATGTCCCTTCCAGTGCCACCACCACAATGTCCTCGAACCTTGTCATCCTTGTCTTGTAGTCTCATGGCAGCTGCAAAGTCAATGAGTTTGAGTTTATCTTCATCCAACAGGATGTTGCTGGGTCGAATGTCCCCATGGACCACAGAGGCAGTGTCATGAAGATAGTTGAGACAGGAAAATAGTTGCCACATAATGTCCTTGACTTTGTGTTCTTCCAGGAGTCCACCATTCATTGCAGGTGCCTTTAGTTCCTTCTCCAGACTGTTGCCATGGCATCTCTCCATGACAATCAAGTGGTGATCGGACTGCTTGTACATGTCAAAGACCTTGGGAACAAAGGGAGTCTTTATGGTCTTCATAATCTCATATTCCAAACAGCTGTCTTTTGTTGATCCGTCCGTGACCTTGACAACACGTGATGTGTTGGTAGCCAAGTGCGTGCAGGAGTGAACTTGAGAGAATTCTCCCTCGTAGAGTACATCGTCAAACTTGTAGCTCTTTGTAAACGTATGATTGGTTTCGCTCACAAAGTCATTGGCACTCATTGCCATTGGGATACGTTGAGAGTGGCGCTTGCTGTCTTTACCCTTGCCACTTTGACTTGCCGCCTTTTTGGATTCTCGCTTGACGGCTGCCTTTTGCTCCTTCTTCTGTTTCTTGGTGGAGCGACGATTCGCCTTCTTGTCCGCTTTGGTGGTAACGGTAGTCGCTGCAGTATCCTCCGCTGGAGTGGTAGTAGCCGGCGCGGGAGGCGTGCTGCTAAGCTCGGACGACAAGCTTCCCAATGGCAAAGTGGAGTCGCTCACGGGAGCTGGAGACAGCAGCAAATCCCTGCCATCCACGGCTGTTGTGTGTCGACGAGGAGACCTGCGGAGCATGCTTGTGTACTTGCTCTTCTTGGCAATTATGGATCGTCGCTTCTTGGGACCTTCTTCATCTTCTTCGACAACGACGGGTTGCTCTTCCTTTTGAGGTTCTCTGCGTTCCTCTTCTGGTAGAAGTTCCGAGCCAAATATTTCTTGGGCATTCTTCAGCTCGTCCTGTTCCAGTTGCTCTTTCTTCTTCATGCCCAGCGTCATTCGACGCAGAACTGATACCCTCGGGGCGACTGTAGACTGTCGTTGCGGCATGGTGTGGCAAAGAGTTCAAAGATTATTAGTTGCTTGCACAAAAAGAGGTGGAAGAAAAGTATGAATAATCCTGGCGAGGCTTCAGAGTTGAAAGCAAAGTGCGCTTCGGTTCCAAAATGTGAGAGCTGTGTGAGCCAGTCACAAGCAAGAGTCCGACATTTAAAGGATGACTTGGAAGAGCCTCCCAAGACAGATACTTAGAGGACCAGTACAAGGATGGTGGCTGAGGTGCAAGGGATCTAATTATTGAAGGTGATTCTGCACACGATTGCTCAAGACAATCTTAAATCGTCAATTATTTGTAATGTCTTTCTTGGTGCACTGTTACACTTATGTCAATAGCGCTGAAAATTGGAACTTTGAGAGCGTTGACTGCTATTGACGCGACGTCCAATCGCCCCAAGAAAATGGAGCCAATGGAGAATAACGTCCCAGTGTTTGTCGATAATGATTGACGATGTTGGATGCCCGCTTGCCGTTGCAATGCCTGCTCAGCTCCGGCGTCACATGGATCCAGTTACTCAAACATGGAGAGGCAACCTTGTTATTAGTCTAGCTGGGGATTGTATCACAGGAATTATGTAAGTGGTGAATCCTGAACACAAAGTACCACTGAAATCTTTCGAAAGGTCGCCGAGCGAAGCCGAGGTCCCCCAAGAAACATCGCTGAGATGGTCTGAAGCAAGGTTGCAAAGGTGGCGTGAATGTGTGAATCCTGTGAAGTTGAGGTGCGTTGAAAAGAAGGAGCTAGGGAGAGGTGATGTGGGCATCGCCTGCAAAGAGATGGCTTCGTGGCTTCTAGAGCCGGTTTCTAGCTAGCTAGCCATAGTAGATATATTCTCGGGTTAGGTACTTTTAAGCCGCAAGACGAAGAGCTGATTTGGTTCAGAAACGAAGACTGATGAAATGATGAAATTCCAACAAGAGGTCCTCGAGGAGAATTCCGAGGCGCGAGCCTCATTGCGAGTCTTGCTGTGGGTTGACTCTGTGGTAAGTTTGGCGCCCAGCCAGCTTCGAATCGGTTTTTGCCGCTTGATTACGACTCTGCGTCGGAAGCTCCTGTTCATTTCGTTCAGCTAGCCCGTGTGAACACCAGTAACCCTCTATCGGGTTGGAAGAGGCCGTTGCCGCCGCATGCGCGGCACTGCTGTGGTGCATTGGAGGCACATTTTCTCCACTGGTTGTGGTTGCTCGTGCAGGGAACCGACGAGGCATGCATTGATAGGGAAACACCGTGCTCGTGGGTACTGTACTCATGAATAGCTAGCTAGCACAGGCTGTCAATGTTGATCCTCTAAATTGCTACTAATGATTGTATATTGCTAGCTATATTTGGTACCAGGTAGTCTTGGTTCCTCGTCAATAACACCATGTACTTGGGAGTGATACCCATGACATCTGAACCAAATCAGTGTTGCCAGGGTCTTCTTTACTTGCACTCACTCGCTCTTCCTTCCATGGTTGTAATCACATCATCCTACCAGCACCATCATTGCAACCAGTGTGGTCAGCCAGCAACTTTGGTCTAAAAGATACCACCAGTCCGCATGCACTTGACAAAGTTGTCAAAATCAATGTATCCATTGCCCTTCAGGTCCACCTCTGCAATGATAAAGTCTAGTTGGTCTTTGCTGCAACGAGAAAATGCTGGCACAGCCTGCAGTTCCGCCCTCCCAATGCACCTTCTCTTGTGCTTATCAAAACGTTTGAAGGCTCGTTTCAGGCGGTCATCGGTCAGAAGCTCCTTCTCACTCATACTGGCCACAGCGAACTCACTGTAGTCTAGGCTGCCATTTCTATTGGAGTCGCATCTCACAAAGATATCATCCAACTCATCTTCAGTGAGAGGAGTGTTGAAGGCTAGCAAGAAACCAGCTCGAACTTCATGGCGACGTAACTTGCCATCATGGTGCATGTCAAGCTTTTGAAAGGCTTGATCAATCTTGGTATGTTCTTCTTTGGTCAGCATGTCTGCTACCATAAGGGAAAGGGCGGCCTGTTTGAGACGAGAGTTGGGGTTGTGCTTGCGAAGGTTGGCCAACCGGCTCATGCGGTCCATCTCTGCCATGGGGTCTGTTGTATCTGGAGAAGCTGGCCCATATATCTCGAGGGCAGCACTACCGGCTTCGTTGTTCCTGGCATTGTCTCGGCGAAACCACCTGTCACGGAGAACCTTGGCAGCATTAGGACGCCTCTTGCTGTTGGGATGCAACAATGAGGCAATGAGGTCCTTGACTTCTTTTGACACATTGGTACCATGAGGGAAGCGCAGCTTGCTTCGGTGCATTCGCCTGACAATGTCCTTCTCAGTCTTTTTGATGCTCTTGGGAAACTTGTCCTGATCCTCTTCGATGCCTTTCTTGATTTTGCGACTGCTTTCCACAAAGGGCAGCCTGCCAAAGAGCATCTGATACATGATAATACCACAAGACCACATGTCAGCCTTGGAGTTGTACTTTGGTTTGGAGCCGTGGACTTCTGGAGCTTGATAAACAATGTCTCGTCCACTGCCACCTCCTCGGCGTTCCCTGATCTTGTCATCCTTGTCTTTGAGCCTCGCAGCAGCATCAAAGTCAATGAGCTTGATCTTGCCAAAGTCATGTTCTTGGTCCAACATTAGGTTGCAGGGCCGAATGTCCCCATGAACCACCAATGCAGTTTCGTGAAGATAATTGAGACAGGAAAACATTTGCCACATAATGTCCTTGACATGGTGTTCTTCCAAGAGTCCATGTTGGGTGTGAGCAGCCAATTCCTTCTCGAGACTGTTGCCATGGCATTTCTCCATGACAATCATGTGATGATTGGATTGATTGTACATGCGATAGACCTTGGGCACAAATGGAGAGTCAATTGTTCGCATAATCTCAAATTCGGGACAGTCTCGCATGTGGCAGCAAAAGTCTGACATTTCTTCCGTGTCATCCCCACCGTTGCTGCTACCGCAAGAGTGATCTCCGTCTTGTTCCATGACCACCTTGACCACACGAGAAGTGTTGGTAGCGAGGTGCGTACAGGAGTGGATCCGGCAAAATTCTCCCTCGTACATGACATCGTTGAACTTGTAGTTCTCTTTGAATACTTCATTGGTCTCGCAGAGAAAGTCGTTGGAACTAATCGTGATGCTGGTCCGCTTGGATCCTCGAGACTTGGAGTGGCGCTTGGAATTGCTACTTCCATCAGATGCGCGCTTGGCTTGTCGCTTGATGGATGCATTTCGCTGTGGCTTTTGCTTCCGCATGGCGGTTATGCGGCGTTCCGTCTTTTTGTGGGACTGTTTGGTCGCTTCTTGTACCGGTACAGTGGTGGTAGAAGTAGTAGCCGCAGTAGCCGACTTGGAGAGAGTGGCCTTGCTGGGCTGAGACGACTTTCTCAACAACGAGGTGGAGTTCCGCAGAGACAAACCAGAGTTGGGTGCCGGTGATGGGACCACCATGGTAGTGTTTCGGCGGGGAGATCGTGATCTTTGCCGACCCGCTGCGTGGGAAGAAGACATGTCGTCCATCCCGGTACTGTGAAGAATGCTCTTGTACTTGTCCTTCTTGGAATTGGATGAGCGCTTCTCAGGTTCTTCTTCTGTGACGGGCTGCTCTTCTGGCTCCTCCTCTTCCTCGATAATGTCGCCAAAAAACTCCTTCACATTCTTGAGCTCGTCCAGTGCCAGTTGCTCTTTCTTCTTCATGCCCAGCGTCATTCGACGCAGAACTGATACCCTCGGAGCCATGGTGCTTGATCCAAATCTCTGTTGTGCTGGGGAAGGGAGCGAGGGCAAGACCCAAGAGGAAAGATTATGAGCTTCTCGGGGGAAGTAGGCTTCCTGCTGCTTCTGATCAGATATTGCGTTGAGGTGCTCCAAGGAGCTCCAAGGTGGCCTTTCTAACCAGCAACTTCCGTTCGGGATTAGGTTTGTAGGTTTGTACCGTTGTTTACAACCGTAATGGCCTGCCCGGTGAGCTCGGTTGTTGGTGGCAGAAGGATTGAATTAGCAGGGTTTAACAGCTAGCTGTTCAACAAAAGATACCACTGTGGATAAGATAGACTAGTGGTGGAAACTTTGTCCAAGAGATTCTCTTTCGTGGATCTTTGGAGCAGGATTTACATCGATGTGAATGAAGTGAACAGGAACTAAGACAATGAGAAGAGAATTTTGACAGCGAAACCTGCTCGTCTGTTAACAAAGATGCTTTAGCAGTCTATCAAGATTGGTGTTTAATAAATCAGTGGAGCCACCTATATCTTGCAAGGAACTAACTAAAGAAAGGCCTCCAACTGCCCAACATCACGAAATGTCCAAAGGATCACGTTTTATTTTCATGAAACTGATTCCCCTAGAGGTAAGAAGCTCTTTGAGTATGTACGATACACTCCTCACTCACACTTAAGATAAGTGGGTTTAAGATACCCAGTACTCAACTTTTTAGAAATGTTTAGATAACCCGGACACTCAGATTTCCCAAACCAGTAAGATAAGCTACGAGTACTGAGGTCTCAAATCCTAAGCTAATACTAAGACTATGCGGGGATTGAATGCAGCTAGTACCCACTATCTACCACATCACCATCTACATCCAAGTACTCCATATCCGCATCTTAGGGTGCCTCCCGACCACGAAATCTTTGGTTTCATCAATTTTAGCTTTGCACCTTTGCCTTTTTGAGCTTTGGTGGTGGCTCCTCACTGTCTCAGGGCATGGTTAGTAGTAGGGTATGTAATAACAGCTTCTACCAGGTAGTGGCCATAAGATATGAAAGATACTGAGATTGGGCTGCTTGTAAGATAATAACTCAGTGTTGCAGTAGCTGAATAGGTTAAGATACCACCAGTACTGGACTAAGAATAGAGTTATCTCATTGATGAGGTTGGAGTGTAAAGGCACCAGGTATAGGTTCGGTACCAGTACTGGTAGCTAGTAGTACGAACTAGCTAACTAGATCTAGTACTGTACATGTACCATTAGTATCTTTTGTTTTGAAAGATCCAAGATTAACTTTTCCCTTCAAAGCTTGATAACGGTACCGGTACGGATCGATTTTGCTACAGCTCTGGTACCGGTATTGGTGTGCTCAGGGTGGCTCAGCCAGACATTTACACATGGCTTCCGCAACAGAAAAATCAAGGGTTTTATAATATGTTCCTGTCCCCAGGTAAGTTGAATAAAATTCCTTGATGCTACGTTGAGCCAAGAGGAGAGCATTAAATTTGTTCTCCTCCTTGGGACAGCTGAAACAGGGCGACACTGTAATGTTGAGCAAAACGATTAATCGTCTTCCTAGCACAGGTTCAGTATCTGTTAACTACAAAAGGTGAGAGGCAGCAATGCAAATTTGACCGAGGCAAGCCTGCTGGAGTTCTGCTGGCAATCCACCGGTACCGGTAGTCTATGCGAAAGGTTCGGTTTGGTTGCAGCCTGGGTTCATTGGAAAAATTCTAGATGTAGTGTAAGTATGTTTGTATCTTAAATACAAGGCCCAAGTTGTATTCAATTTCCTGCTGGTTTGCTGGCTTCTGGCTTCACAGAATCCATGACGCTAAAAGGCCACAAAGTACCACTGACAAAGTGTGTTAAGTCCTTCTCTGAATAACAACCAAGAATCAGCTGGCTCAACCGGTACCGGTACATCATGTAGATGTCTAAAGAAGCCCGATTTCAAGAGAACCGCATCGGTACGGTGCTCGTGGCGCTCTTGCGCTCTATCTACCAGCTAGTAGCACTCATCATCGTGGCTGATCATAGCATCAGAACCACCTATCCACCACTAACCAGCTAGATATTTGAACTAGCTAGCCACTCAAATTGGAGGACAGTATGAGGCTACCCTATATCTAGCTAGCTCCGGCTACTGGCGAGCGAGACGAAGTCCTGAGTATCCGGCTGAGCGATCGAGAAGTAATGCGGCTGCTGTTCAGTACCCTGAGTAGCTGCTGCTTACTGCATGCATAGTTGCCGCTCAGAGACAGGCATGCATCAGATACATGGAGGACCTGGGAATCTTCCCATGGGAATCTTTGCCTGCCTATTCAGTATGTTTGCTTGGCCCCCAGCACAGACACCTACAATCCATTTCAATTGCCAACCTCCACTTCGGTAGCTGCTGCTTATTACATGCACGGTTGCCGTTCAGACGCATCGGATGCATGGAGGACCTGCCTGGGATCTCAGGCTCTTGAATATTTGCCTATCCAGTATTTTTGCTTGGCCACAAGCACAGGCACCAAGGAGCTACAAGTCAAACCATGAAATTGTTAACCTCCGAATACCAACCCACAGCATGCGCACACCGGCTGGGAGCCGGTGTGCGCACGCTGATTGCTTGCATCACATCAGCCAAGGATCAGGATCTACCCGAAAACAGTGGCCTGTTGCCATTCTACTATGGTACCGTAGGCCCAGAAATTTCCTCGGGTACTTGAGGTGGGTTGAGCTGGTGCCAGCGCAGGCAGCCAGCATGAAGCAAGCAGCATACAATCTCGTCCACTCTTTTGCTTTGGTCACGTCATGAGTACTAGCCGTCGCCTTGGTACCCTTCTTCGGCATTAGCTTTGAATGTCTTCTTTTGCCGACTCCAACCGAGTGCCTGCTCCGAGAATACTTGTGGCATTGCTGGACAGCAGTGGTATACTAGACGATGACATGGTGGGATTGACAAGCCCCCATGGCGGAAGGAGCGATCACGAGGACGTGTGTACAATGTAGATGTACAATATACCTTGGTGAATTCATGTATGAAATTCTTTCCCATGCCAAAAGATCCACAAGGCAGATTAAAATCGAATGCTAAACTTAGCAGTTCTCTTGCTCCCTTTGGAGTTTACCTTGGCCGCAATGAGCGCACATAACCATCGGGGTGGATCCTTGGCACGTGCATCATCCAAAAGATCCAAAAGATCTGTAACCGGTACAGTTGTTCCCGGCAAGATTGTCCATTAGCTTTCGCCGCTTTAAAAAAAAATTGCAGCAATCCATCCTTCCACTCGAAAACAAAAATCGCTCCGTATTTCCGTCTCGGCTCTTGTGTGAGGAACACAAGGTCTTTGCCAAGGCAACCAAGGCTTGGATCTCTTCACTACTACTACTAGCAACAGTTGGCACTGAAGACTGGAGCAGCAGGGACCAATTACAGCCAGAGAGAGAGTCAATAGCTGAATTAAACTCCACTTGATTCGCCCCTCTTTCTTTGCCATTTCAGCTTTTGGTCTTGTGCATCACAAACAAGGTCTCCACCAAGGCAACCAAGCCAGGGATCTCTTCTCTACTACCATAGAAGACATCTGCAGCTGAAGACTGGAGCAGCAGGGACCAATTGCAGCCAGAGATAGCCAATAGCTGAAATTGTATTTTCTTTCAATTCTACCGCAATGGCCACCATGACCACCAGGGAAAACAGAGGCTCCAAGCACCGAGTTGGAATGAATATCAATGATGTGAATATTCAAGAAGCTGCCATCAACAAGGCCTGTGAATTCATGGGCCCTGATATTTACATCTACGGAATTGGATCCAACAAGAAATACAAGCATGGAAATACCCTCCTCCAAGAAGTGAGGAAAGCTTGTGGCTTCCAGGTGTCCTACAAGCAGCTGCAACGGTGGATTTCCTACTACAAGAAATTTGGAGAAGCTCCTGCCAGAACTAGGAGAGAACACCGGACAACTATCAAAGGATTGCGCACTATGAATCCCAAACAGTTCACCATAGCCGACCAGGATATCCTCAAGGAGATTGTGGATCAAGAGCCCCAGCTTTATTTAGATGAGATCCAAGAGCAGCTGGCTGCTAGAACTGGCAAAGCTTGGACGACTAGCACCATTTGGCGTCATCTACACAGCAAGCGCATTGGCTACTCTCTGAAAACTGCAGTTTGGAAAGCCAGGCAGCAATCACTGACCGAAGTGGCTCGATATCACGTTCGAATGAAGGATTATGTGCAGCATCCACGCCAGCTAATTTATGTTGATGAAACCTCTAGAAGCTCCAAGGCATCAAGGAGACGAAGAGGTTGGTCTCCTCGGGGAGTCACTCCCATCATTACTTCTCGGATGGAGAGGGAATTCGACAAGAAATACACTCTCATTGCTGCCTGCAATTGGGAGGGTTTTGAGATCGGCGCATGCCACATTGTGGAAAGAGAGACCAGCAATAGAGACACCAATCCAGACAGAGGAACGGTCGATACCGAACGATTCGAACATTGGGTCGAGCATTTTTTGGTCCCAGTTCTCGGGAATTTTGTTGACTGTGAACCCAATTCTATAGTTGTCATGGACAACGCTTCGATTCATTTTTCGGACCGAATCACAGAGCTAATTGCCAATACTGGTGCCATTATGGTACTCACGGCACCCTACAGTCCCGAGCTCAACCCAATTGAGTACATGTTCAAAATCTACAAGGACTCACTCAAGCGTCTATCCTATGATCGATCCCTTCATTGGACGGCCACTCATTACAGCTCTCTGGTTGCCGTCACTCCTGATACGGCCAAGGCATTCTTCCGAAAATGTGAGGTTCCTCGAATCGAAAATTGGTACCGTGAACAGCAACTGGAAAAGGAAGAAAATGAGCTCCTATTTCTAGCTGTCCTCCCGCCTCGACTGATTCTCTTGCATGAACTTTTATTTGATGGGGACTCAGGGGATGGGCTATTCTAATCAATACGTACTAATGAAATAATGTAATCAATATATACTAATGCATTAGTAGGGAGCTACAAGGAGGTCTCAGTGCTGACAGGGGATACCTTTTGTAGATGCACTTTGAAGTAGACCGGATTAATAGAACCCTTTTCTGGTTCTCCAGTACTGCTGATGCGTGGAATAACGTCTTTGTAGAACTCACCTGTCGATGTTGTGGCAAGCTCTTCCATGGTGTATGTCCGATAGACTTTCTTGGAAATAGAATTGATGTATTCAACCACCAATTCTAGTTTCTTTTTTCGAACCTGATCTACTTGCTCTGGTTTGAAGTTAGATCGAACTCCACGTCGAATAGCTGGGCTATCGAATGCCTGCCCCAAAGTTTTGATTGGGTCACTATCGGTTGGGCTGGTAGGCACCGTAACATCCTTACGCTGCTCATCATTGTTGTCTCGGTAGAATCGGATGGTAAACGTAGCGGGACGATTGCTGGCACTCGACGAATTATTGGTTGTTGCTCCTCCGGCTTGGAAGCAGGCTGTCAATGTGTCCATCTTGCGTTTAAAATCCTGTTCCTTTTGTTCGTCAGCTGTTAGCTTGTAACGCTTGTATGATCCAGGAACATCTGACTCTGGTGGATATGCTCCTTTCTTAGCGACTCGGCCTCCATAATTCACGCCATTGGTTGTGACATCGGATGGCAATTCGCTGAGCGGAGGCCATGTGTCCAGATCGCCAGCAATACAAGAATACCGCTGATAGATTTTCTCTGTTTGTGCCATCAAGCAAATTTTGATCCTCTGGTAATGCTCAAGAGTGAAACTGTGATACCACGGGGACTCCGGGCTGGCATGGTTCTTCCAAATGAAATCTTCAATTTCCTGCGGAGACGTCATTTGCTGCTCTCGTGTTTGGTTGGCAGATTGAGGCTTCTTTTGTTGTGCGGGAGACTCGAAATAATTGGAGTTCTGTGTCAACTCTGCGGCATCATCAACATCGGAGCTACCCTCATAGACAATGTCGGTAGAATTCATTTTGCCAATCGAAACGCTAATTGCAACTGTCTTCTTGCCTTTGGCTGCTCTGGACAATCTATCGTAGCATTTCTTGATGTGAATCTCCCAGAAAGCTTGAGTAGTGACACATTTGATGACATCAGCTTGATTCGATTTTGGTTGGATAAATACACAAGACTTCTCGCCAACAATAACAGCGCCCTTGGAATCTTTGTAGGTGGATAAATCCAAAGCATGGTTCATCAACAGGCGGCGGATATTCCCAAATCGATGTCGAGCTACTTCCGTTGCGTCATCGTCCATCTCTTGCAACTCTTCAGCCGTAAATGGAGGAGCCAAGGTGAATTTTTCGACCTCTTGGACAACCGCTCGCCTCTCACACTTATAGTCAGATTTTCCCACTTTGCTAGTAGGACCCATAAGAGAGAATACCACTGTCAAATCATGGCCAAAGGGCAGTTGTAGTGCATCTGCAGTTTGACCAATTTCTTCATCATCTTGAGATGTAACCGTGGATTCACCATGGCTATTTCTGCGAGCTTTCTTAATGACTGAAGCCTTGTAGGCTACAACAGTGCACAGAAGATTGATAAACAATACCTCTGGTTCGTTCTGCCTATCCATTTGGATGTAAGAACAACTTCGCAGTATGTGCCGCCAATCATGGTCGGAATGGATCGCTGTTGGCTGAAATGTTTTGAATTGACTCGAATCAAGATCGTTTTGATGACGGTCAATGTAATTGCTCTTCTGTCGAATATGATTGCTCCGAACAAAATAGGCACTCCCCAAACCAACATCCTCTACAACCCATTTGTTGCCTGAATGCTCTTGCACAGCAGCACAAAGAGCTTCTCGAACTATAGCCCAGTCAGAAGTGTAGGAAATATCCAAATCAAATGCATCGGGTTTGTCACTGTCGATTGGATCAGAGTTGACGAGAGGAACATTTCTGCTGCTGAATTGTACCTTTGGACTTTTCTTGGTTGTATGCATAGACACTTGCAGTATGACCTTGGGATCTTCAATTTCAAACGATTCCTTGGTAAATTCAGGCTCATTGTCTATTGCTGAAGCTGGGGATTTGTCACTGTCAGTTGACCCTGGAGAAGAGTGATTGTCAGTTGATTTCCCGGTGCTTCGCTGCTTGAGTTGTTTTGGGGTAGATATGGGATCTTCCTCAGATGAGCCGTTCTCAGAAGAACTCGGAGACCCATTTCTGGCATTAGACTTCTTTGCTGTGCTGGCATTGGAAGAACCATGTTTGTCGTTACTAGGAGTTGCCGACTCGTCCGGTGCTTCGGTTTGGGTCCATTCGGTGGATTTATTCTGGGGTTGTTCGCTATCAGATAATGAACTCAATGCCGCTGCTAAATCAGAGCTTTGAGATGACTTCTTTTTTGTGGACTGGCTGGAACGATGATGAGTTTTTGGCGGCCGACCTGGAACAGAAACTCCATCGGCACGTTTAGCAGCAAGCTTTTCCCGTTGCTTTTCTTGTGCCTGAATTTCGAGCTGGCGAGCTTCTTCTGTTCGAGCATTTTCCATTGCTTTGGGGCTGAGCCTTCTTTGGCGAGAGCGTCGAGTGCCACCTTGGCCATCATCACCGGTGCTTCCCCTGGAACGACCTTTGGGTGGCATGGTGGTGCAGTAGAATTGAAAGAAAATACAATTTCAGCTTTTGACTCTCTCTGGCTGTAATCGGTCCCTGCTGCTCCAGTCTTCAGTTCCAACTGTTGCTAGTAGTAGTAGTGAAGAGATCTCTGGCTTGGTTGCCTTGGCAGAGACCTTGTCTGTGGCACACAAGACCACGGGCTGAAACAATGGCAGAAGAAGAGGCAAATCAAATGTAGTCTATTTCATCTATTGGCTATCTCTGGCTGCAATTGGTCCCTGCTGCTCCAGTCTTCAGCTGCAGATGTCTTCTATGGTAGTAGAGAAGAGATCCCTGGCTTGGTTGCCTTGGTGGAGACCTTGTCTGTGGCATGCAAGCAACACACCAATAAAAGGCTCTGTGACGACTTTTTGCAACCTGACGCACTTTTTTTTTTAACGTAGCAGAGCTAATGGACAATCCTGACGCAAACAACTGTACCGTGCAGGAGCTGGCATGGAAGGCAGCACGAATAGCGCGAATGAAACCGCTGCTTGCCAATTTAAAAGTATCGGTAGGAGTTTTGCCTTTGGTCAGGGTCACCAGCGACAACGAAGGAGCACAGGAACAATGAACTCTTTCGACTAGATAGAGTAAATTAAATAAATGATAAAAACAATAAATACCTCACCTTTTGTAACAGAAAAAAATCTTCACAGACGCAATGACAACATTGAATGGTTGACTCGAAGACACCTACCGGTACCGTAGCACCGGTATGCATACCGGTACCGGTACCCGTCACAACTACAAGAACTGTACTCATTAAGACAGGGAAACAGCGGCGGCGGCACAGTAGTCTACATGCAGAAGAGTACATGTACACCCGATTTGTTGCCGTTGTGTTCTGATCCTGAACAATCCTCACAAAAAGAAAACCAACAAAACAACAACAATAATCGAGCATCAACAGCAAAAGAAGAAGCAATGAAGTTCCCTGCTCTTTCCTCCCTTATTGGGATTGTCACCATCGCCTTTTGGTTCACTGGAACTGCCATGGCTGAGGGTACCGATACAACACGTAAGCAAACTCACACCTCACACCAAGCTGTTGGATCCAAACTGCCGTGAGGGATGGATATACTAATAGTGCGTTTCGATTGGATGCCCCGTTGCTTTCTTTACCAGCCAATCTTCGTGGCTACGATACCAGCAGCGCCATGCAAGCATTGAAGGGCGAACCTTTGGTGCCCCAGGGTCAACGCCGACTTCCAACGAATAGCAATAATAATAATAGGAACAAGAAGAAGAACGATGATGAAGACGACGAAGATCGCGGAAGAGGAAGGGATGACGCAGACCATGAAGACAACTCGGTAGGCGGGAAAAGGCGTCGTCGCTCTGGCGACAACGACAGGCACCGCAGGAATTCCCGTGGCCGTCGTCGTGGCGGCCGCGACAATGATCGAGACAGGAGGAAGCGTCGAGGTGATGATGAGGAAGATTACGGTCGTGCTCCCAATCGTGGCGATAATGGAAACGATGAACGAGGAGGAGGTGGTGGCAGAATGTCAGACGCCGAGATGGCCAAGGCAGTTCAAAAGGAACTGAAGAAGCAAGCCAAGAAAGAGCAAGCGAGAAAGGAAAAGATCCGTGAGGTGAAGGAGCAGCTTGCCAAGGCCATTGAGAATGCAGTGGACGAGGAGGTGGACAGAGCTGTTTCCAAAGCGGTTGCCAAGATGCTCAACGATGTCGATACGATGGATGCTATGCATGGTCTTCGCGATGCCAATGTGGACGACCAGCACTTGAGCAAGAATTTCAACAAGCACTTTTATGACCCCTCCACGGATTCGTACACCGACCCGGAGGCTGCCAAGCACGTGGTACAGAACAATCCGGAAATTGTGCATGACATGCAAGTGTCGGCCAATTCCAATTCGCCTTGATCAATCAGGTTCCGCCCGTTTTGGTTCCTCCCGAGAATCGAATCCAAGAAGCAAACCCGAAAGAGTGGGAACAACCAAGAGACTTTACCGTAGGATACATGAACACCTCAAAGATAATGGAAAAGCGAGCATGCGAAAGCTCCAGATCATTATTGAATCATTCTCTAGAGGAGTAGCTAGCTAGCAAGCGTGTGGAACAGTAGCAGGGGCATTTCGACTGAGTGGAGTGACAGTCAATAGCTTGGATAGATGGAAGATTCAATCATGCAGCGGTGCCGTGGATGTAAAGGTTTGATAAAAACGCCGGCTGAGCTAAGATATCTTCCCGCGGAACAAGCGACGAGACGCCAAGACTGCACAGAGCAAGGTTTCCCAACCTCTTCTTTCAAGCTGGTGTCAATCTCATTTATTTGTTGACCTCCAAGCCTCCTTCAGATTGCTGTCTGTCTAGCTAGTACCTGGTACCAGTGGTAGCTATAGCCACACTCGAGGAATCCACTTTCGAATTAGAAAAGAGAGATAGAAACGATGACGTATTCCAGCATGAAGATCTCTCAGTTGAAGGCGCTGTGCCAAGAACAGTCGATTGACACGACGGGCATGTTGGAAAAGGGAGAATTTGTCAAGGCGTTGGAAGCAGCAGCAACAACATCGATGGAAGAACAAGAAGAAGCGCCACCTCCGCTGCAAACCATTTCCGAGAAACCCTACGAGGAGATGAAGGTCTCCGAGCTTCGGTCGCTGTGTGGCGAGCGTGGAATTGATACCACGGGAATGTTGGAAAAAGGAGACATGGTCCAGGCGCTCCACGACAACGATCCATCTCCTACTACTTCTAGTAGAAGAGCCACGGCTCCTGTGATTCCTACAGCAACAACTGCATCGGCTGATATGGATGAGAGTACCAATTCTCAACCACAAGATAGAGCCAGCAGACGAGCCAGTACTAGTTCTACTTCGGCAGAACCAGATCAAACCACACCCAGGAAGAGCATGGCCAAGAGACTCTCCAGTCGTCTTTCCATGAAAAAGACAGACATGACATCAACTGTTAATATGATGGATGAGAGTAACAACTCGGAAATGGGAGATCACAGCGCACAACAAAGGAGGGCGTCTACTTCCAATAATTCGGAACAATCTCCCAAAAAGAGCATTGCCAAACGACTCTCCAATCGGCTCTCCATCAAGTCACGCCGACAATCCACAACAGATGCTGCCACTGAACCTACCGATGCAGCTGCCAATCCTACTTCTAGAAGAGCGTCGGTGAAGCCATCTCAGGATCTCGATGTCAGCACAAACTCCTACATTGACGAGAGTAGCAAAAACAGAGGCTCACAAAGGAGAGCTTCCACTGCCAAGAAACCATCTCCGGATCTGGATGTCAGTACAAACTCCCGCATTGATGATTCCTCCAAGAACAGAGGCTTTAGCAGGAGAGCTTCCACTGGCACCCCGAATCAAGCGCCAACTCCCACGAGAAGTAATGCTAGAAGGGCAAGAACCAATAGTACCAACAGTGCATCGAGAAGGGCATCGGAGGCCACTCCGTCGGATCGTTCCTCCAAGCCCCTGGCACGTGACGACAAGAAACCCAAAAAATCCTTGTTCAAACGGAGCATCGTTCGAAAAGACACCAAAAGACGCAATGCCGTCAGCGTCAGCAGGGTAGTCATGGAGGCTCCTGACCTTTCCGACAGTGCCCAGGAAACCACGGATGATGAGAAAAAGACACGCCTTTCGTCTGGTGATGAGAAGAAACGAGTGCCAGAACCACTCATTGACACTGCGGGCCTTTCCGATAGTGCCACGGATGACGACAAAGTGCGAAACAACAACAACAACAACAACACGCCACAACGCAGTAACAAGGTCTCATTTGCGGCTGCTACGGTTGTGGAAAGCGACTCGGACGATTCGAGTGTCGATCAGGAGCGAAGAGCTTCCTTGAGAGCATCGTTTCTGGCTTCGAGATGCAACAAGAAGAACCCTCATCGACAGAGAAAAGTTCGATTCTCGTACACCGCTGACGAACCAGTGGAGGATATGGGCCACATGTCCGACAGTGCCTCTGGTTTGGATAACTCTGGTTTGGATGCGTCTGGTGGAGGAGGTCGTCGCGGAATGGATGATAGCAATCACAGCATGAACAATGGCAGCAGCCATCAACGGAGAACCAGTCAAATGTCGGGTAGTAGTGCTAGGAGAGACAGTTCTACTAGGCGAGACAGTTCGAGAAGGAGCTCCACCATGAGAATGCGGAGCCCCAAACGGCGGAGCACACGCAGAAGCAAGAGAAAGAGCCGATTGGATGAGAGGCGGAGAAGTACTTGGCAAGCCGACAACAGTTGGATGGATGGCAGTGAGGCGTGGTATACTCAAAACAGCACCAATTATACGGAAACAGATGTCAAGAAAGCCTTCAAGGAGGCTCCTGCCCACAAATGGAAAACGGATAGCTATCAAGTTGGCGGGAACTATGCCATGAGTGTTTGGGAAGGCGAACTGAAAGAAGTTCGAGGCAAATCGATCAAGAAAGCCATTGAAAAGTTCAAGAACAATCCACACAAGTATGCCGCCCTCATGTACCAAACGAACTTGTTGCATTGGCCAAAGTCAAAGCACAAGTACACTTTTGTGATGCGAGTGGGAGAAGAATTCGTCACTCCTCTAGGAGTGACCGACAACAAAAAGGAGGCTTGGATGACCGTTCTAATTCACAAGTATCTTCAATTGCCTGCCTTTCCAAACAATGAATTGCCACAAAGCCAAAGAGATCCATACACTCAACTTTTGACATTCGAGGGGCAAACCTTGCCTCCCCCAATACTACCAGGGCGAGGGATGGGAATATGCGATATGCCCAGCCTCAAGGTACTGTGCTTTTCTGTGTCTCGTTTCGTTGGCAATTCACAATGCTGCATGAAGGCAAAATGCTAATGACGTGTTACTATTGTTTCATACTAGGTTATTGGTGACATTGACCCGTCGGATATTGAGCAAGGAGAGGTGGGAGACTGTTGGTTGCTATGTGCTATTTCCTCCCTCGCGGAATTTGATGGGGGCATCAAGAAGCTTTTCCGCAAAACCCATGCCCTAGATTTAATGCCTTTTGATGATGGTCGAGTGAACAAATACACGATCACTCTCTTTGATCTGGAAACCTGGGAAGAGGTGGACTATGTCATTGACGGTACGTAGTGACTTCGAGACCTCCGAATCCTGGCGACACCCCACCCCGACTCTCACCAGAACGGCATTGATTCCATTCGTCTTGCTGCAGAATCCCTATCCCAAAGTAAAAAGTATCCTGGCCACTTGCTGGGAGCACAACCTTCAGTCGATGGCGAGCTCTGGGTCCCCTACTTGGAAAAAGCATTTGCGATTCATTGTGGAGGTTGGGATGAAATTACTGGTGGCGCGTGTACTCATGCCTGGGCCATCATGACGGGATGTAAGAGGCAGTATTCGTTCATGAGGGACCCAAAGACCGACAACTTCAGATGCTACGGCAAGTACAACCACGCCACAAAAGAGTGCAAAAAGCAATTCAATTCACCACAAAAGGCAAAAATCGTAGGCAATTGGCCCGTTTCATGGCCTTACATTGGTGGTGGCGGGAGCATGTACCAGGGGATTGATGAAGATGAAATGTTCAGTAAAATGTGTGCTTGGTACGGGCACAACTACATGATTGGCGCTGGTGCAAGGGAATGCGAGGAGCTGTTGGAGGCCGAGGCTAATGGCATCCTTGCTGACCATGCCTATTCCGTGCTTGCTTGTTTTCCCAACGCGGCGGAGACTGGAATCGATTTGCTCAAGATTCGAAATCCGTGGGGGGCAGGAGGTAAGTTAGAATGCCATCTTTACTTCCAAGAGGATATGTACCAGTACTCCCCTGTCTCACAACAACTTCTGTTCCAAAGAAATTCAAAACGGAGACTTTGGTGATGATGGTCCAGGCTGGAAGTTGTTTCCCGAAATCCGAAAGTTGTTGAAGCCAGTTGTCGCCGATGATGGGATCTTTTATGTGACCAAAGAGGAATTCTTCGACCTGTTTGACAAACTTTACCTGAGCTGCTCAAACATGGCATTGTTCAAAGAAGATTAGAGAGAAACATTCAATCCTAGCGTTCTGTAAGCTAGCTAGCTGGTTTCGGTTGATTTGAGGTCCCGCGCCGCTAGCGTGAGTTCAGGAGTCTCAGTTTCTCGAGGCGTCCAGAGGAAAACGAGTATTTTGTCTCTCACTTTTGCTATACGCTTATTTCATCGCTTATTTCATCGTCTGCCAACAGGAAGTTGGAAAATGTTGGCTCTGAAAATGCTGCCTCTTTGGTCGAATCTTCCGCCGTATGATCGGTTTCTTCGCGGCCGCTTTCTTCTTGAGTCATGGTGGAAGAGGAAGGCTTGGACCCTTCGTTCTTGCTTGGCAAGTTATCCATGGGCCCACATAGGGACAAAACGACGGGAAGCAGGATCAGCCCATGAGCAACCCCCAGCATGGAAATGCCCAGGAAGTTATAAAAGAAAGTTTGAAAACTCAAAGAATTCGAAAGGCCGAGCGGCAGGGCGCTTGCCATTGTTGTCAGTCCAGCGATGAAGATCGAGGCTCCCATTGTTGTCAGAACTTTTCGAACCCTCTCGTCTCGGCTTTTTGCGTTCTTTGTATCATAGTATGTCAGAGCGACATGCATGTTGTAGTCGACGACCAGGCCGATGCTCATCAGCAGTCCAATGGCGGACACAATGTTTAGGTAGAGTCCCGCGAGTCTTAGAAACGCCATGAGCTCCACATAAACAGCGCCGACAATAGTTGGCATAATCAGTGGCCCAAAGGGATGCGGGATGAACAGTGCGGATATGATCATTACGCTTATCAGCCCCAGGACCAACGAAGTCAGCAGCTCCTCCATCATCACCAAGTGCAGTTCCCAGCCGAAAAAGTAAGGGGTAAAGAGGAAGAAGGCCCATTCGTCTTTTACTTGGTTGACTGGCTGTGAGAGCGCCACCTGTTGTTGTAGCTGGTATGTGTCGATCTGCGTGTCTATGTCGTAATTACTGGTGTGATCAAGTATAACGCGACAACGGGACGCAGTAACGGTTCCATCCTCACTCCGAACAATATCGTCCTTGTACAAGAGGTCGAAGGGAGACGTTTTAAGGAACAGATCCAATTGATCGTTGAAGGGCATCGCTTCGATGACATCCGTTTCCTTCAAGGCTAGCTCTTTAAAGAGCAAGAAGTGCTTCAACCAGAAGTAATCAGGGCCCTTCGACATGTAGGGCATATCAACAAGGTCGTCGATGTAATCGATCATTTGTCGTTGAATCTCAGGCGACGACACATCCACGTCGCGAAAGTACACTTGGGCGTGGAGAAACAAGACACCATAGCTATATTCCGAGGCATACTCATGCAATGTGCTGTAGTACGTCCTCACATAAGAATCAGATGGCATCATGTCTCGAAAGTCCAGTTTCTGCTCTTGTTGTGTCGCTCCGTAGATACCGAGGCCCAACATCAACGCAAACACTGCCAGCACGAGAGCTTTCACCTGAGGAATCAGAAGTATATCGCAATATACAGCCATAATCTTCGAAGCGCAGGAGCGGCTGGCAGCGTCATCATCATCATCTTCCTCCTCTTCAGTCGGTACTTTCTTTGAGTGGATACACACCAAGCAGTCATAGCGATTGTCCTGTACCCTTTGATCATCCAGCGCCACCAAAGCTACGAAGAAAGAAATCTGGTAGACAAAGTCGATCGCGACCGTTGGAGCTGGGAGAGAAGAAGAGGCGATGTGCATGTATGTGGGCGGCCGACATCAAGTGCAGTGTTTGAAGGGCAGAAGTTCACGTACCTGCGTACATGCAAAACCACCGAATGAAGGGTGTTGACGCCACGCACCCCAACAAGAACGCCACCACAGTTGTAAGAGTGGAAACCACAATACTGACACCAACTTCCTCCATGCAGCACTGTATCCGTTCCTCGATCTTCTTTTTGTTATCCAGGGCTCCCGTAATGATGAAGGTGTCGTCCAGACCAATGCCTACATGTGGAAGATTTCAAAAATTCAGAAGGTGGTAAGAAAAGACTGCCCTCAAGGTGTTGACAGGTAGATAGGACTAGCAGGATCCTTACCAAGCATGACATAAAAGAATGCCTGGGCGATCGACGTGAACGGGACACCAATGATGAACATGAATCCATAGCTGGTCATGAGGGAAAGGACGACTGTCACGATGGCCCCCACTCCCAGGAGGGCGCGACTTTGAACCAGATCACTGTATTTGCCGAGGTAGACGGCGCAGAGGCCTGCCATGATGACAAATGCAGCGGCCATCGTGGGGGTGTCCTTTTCCACACCACGCATGTTCTCGTCCTCAACAGAGCGAAGACTTGTAGCTTCTAGTTTGCAATCCAATCCTTTCTGGTCCCACTTATCCTGCAGAGCGTAGAGCGCGCGTACTGCATTGTACTCAAATAAGTATTTGTCCCCCTCATATAATGGAATCATTCCAAGGTAGGAAGCGGCTGAAGTCATGAGGATTTCGTTTGAAACTGTACCGTTTTGACCTAAATCCTTCGGGAGAGGAGGTTCTGGATATCCAAAGATCCTTTCCCTCAATATTGGCTCGCCACTGGAGAAAAACATTTGAGACATGGCTTTTTGGACCATTTCATCGCTTGTGGCAACTCGAAGGAAGTCGGTGCGATTGTTATCAAAGAGAGCACTGGGGGAGATCATGGGACATTCGCTTTCTCCCCAAGCTTCGTAGCAGGCGTCAGCATAACCATCCACGCTTCTTAGGGTATCGACGACGGCAAACAAACAACCAGCCCCTTCTACCGTGAGGACATTGTTTCCATGGCTATGGATTAAGAAATTCACGTAGCCACCGGCAGTTTCCGGGAAGCCAGCTTCATTGTTGAGCCAGTCCCAGTGCTCCCATGTTCTTGTCCCTGATGGAGCCCAAAGTTCTGGTCCATCGGCGACAAGTTTGAAGTTGGTAAAGATGCCAGCGATGAGAACGGTGATCGACACAAAGATGGTCAGAGCAACTGTGGTTTTGGGGTTGCGTGCCGATACCAGCGCAATCGCAATGACAAAGCTAAGTATTGGTTGTTTGATATACTCTTCTGTCAACTTTTCCCATTGGGTTTGCTTGCGAGATGGAGATTGACCGTAACTCTCGGAGGAAGTGAGATAGGAATCCCTTGATTTGTCAGTGGTGCTCATGCTAGCTTGTGCTCGTGCAACTTCTGCTGAGTGTCAGTACTGGTGCAAAACCTCTCTTGCCTTGAAAATGAGACCTATCCTTCCTGTATCCGAAATTGGAGTTGGGAATTGAGTTAAACGGATGTAGATGTCAAATCCACAACTGCGCCGACCGATAGAGTGGTCGTGTTCGTGCCGTGGTTCGATTTTCGCGATGAAGACGATCGCGCGATTCCCGTGGCCGGGAGTGCTTGCGGGTGCTCCAAAGTAGTGCCTTGGTTCTACAGTAAAAGTACGTAGAACTCTACCACTGGACAGTGAGTCATGCTTCCGAGACCAGGCCCACCAATTTGAAATCCCTGTCTGCTTGCCCACTTACCCCGTCCCGGTACCTACGGGAACGAGCTTTGATTCTTCCCCTCGTCCTGGCCACTTTTGCGTCCTGAGCTTACCGGTCTTCAGCTTCTGCTCCATGTCTACCATGTTAACAGTATTTTAGCCTAGTTTTCTCCTTGGGATGCCAGATTCTCGACTCGACTCCCCACAGTCCATAGTAACCTCTTCTTCGTGCAAATGGTCACGACGACATCGTCACGACGACCACTTACATGCCAGAGCTTGCTCTACAATGGATGCCACCATAATTATGCAGTACCACTAGCTAGTACGACTACAACCACTGTAAAGAAAAAAGCTATGATTTTTGTTTGTAAAGATTATCTACTATGTGTTATTGTTTTATGTCTATGTTTGGTTGTATTTAAGATTGTAGCATAGCATCAACAATGATAGAGGTTGGTTGTCAGGTGTCACGGGTATTAACTTTGGACTTTCGTCTCGTGGAGGACGTTCGGACAAGCACTCTGCAATAGAGGCTGCCTAGCACAGGAACCACAAACCTGGCTACCTTCGATGCGTGACCCTTCAATTGAACCAACTGTATTCATTTCCGCAAAATTGTTGTATAGCCCTGCACCCCACCAGATGCTAGCTCGTTGTGTATTGTATTGTGTTAGTCCCTGCAAATTGTGGTCGTTGCCCACTTACTTACCTGTTGTCCTAGACTGGAATGTACCGGTCAGGCTTTCTGACTTGCCGCCCAGAAAGAGTTGTTGTTGTCTGAACTGTTGTTTGTTGCTGTGTGTCCATCAGAGGTTGTGTCGTCTTCTTCTTGCCCTTCACCTTTGGCTTTGTCGACTTTTTCTTGGTGGCCGCCGCCCGTCTACGTTTGATTGTAGGTTCTTGAACTGCCACCCGCCGTGGCTTCTTCTTGATTTGTTCTGCGATTCTCTGAGATGCAATCGCCGCCATGCGTCTCTTTGATCGTCGCAAAGTTGATTGTACTGTGTCCACATTATCCTCCTCGTCGACTCGGTTGTCAACTAGTGGTTCATCAGCATCAACTTGTTGTTGTTCCTCGACCTCGACCAGTGGTTCTTCAGCTACCACTTGGCCCGTCCCGAATTCGTAATCCGTATCGTCTGAGGCTTCCAATCGTAGTGTCTTGTGCCGCCGCATCAATTCTTTGACAAGGTCTCCACCATCCTTCATCAATGCTGCGAGAATGTCGTTCGGTACAACTCCAAGTAGCACACCATTCATCATTCGTATCTCCAATACAAATGGTTGTTGTCCATGCACACTGATCTTGAAGTGTGCCACATGCCACTTTTGAATGTATGGGACCACTGCTGTGCATGTGGGAGCCACCGCTGCCTCGCATGTGATTGTGGCATCGGATGCCATCTCATTGTTGTCGTCGACGGTCAAGACTTGTTCTATTGTCTCGACGTCTTTAGTTGTTGTTGGTTGTTGTTCTACTTCTACGGGTGCTGCATCTTCCATGCAGACGTCCTTGACCTTGCGATAGACAAATCGTCGTTTGGCAATCTGTTCTCGCGTATTCAAGGTGCAAATTTCGTCGTCAGCGTTGCGCTGAATTCCTCCGTGGTGCAAGTGGCACATGGCGAGTTCGAACATGTAAGGGTTCTTTTCGTTGACCATGAACCAATGGGAGACTTGCTTGTCGTTTCCTTTCTTCGCCTGGATAAAACGAACAAGTCCCTCGAGGTCTTGATGAACGGCATCAATTTGAATGTACAGTTTGGCTTTTTGTAGGTACGCTTTGTCGCTTTGAAACCATTTGTTGTTGGTGATCCATTTGGCCACTTGTTGGTATCCGTACTCTTGAATCAACTGCACGAGATCCAATACGCGTTCGTGGGGTGTGGGTGTGCCGACGGAAATAAATTGTTGTTGGGCTTCATGCCAGAATTCGTATCGGGCCTGTGGCTCTTGTTTCTTAATGTCTCGATAGACATCACGTTTTTCTTCTTGTTCGCTCTCGTCAGAAGAGTACCCCAGTACAGTGTTGACGGGAGCAAAGGATAAACGGTTTCCATTGCTCCGTTCGGTGTTTTGACCATAATGGGTCTTCCAGCGAGTGTTGGCTGAATGACTGCTTTGGATGTGACAGCCCTTGGGCCGGTGCTGGTTGTATTTGTCGTATCCGTAGTGACCATGCTGATCCGAAGGAACCAGGGAAAGGCCGTAGGCACCTAGGTAGCGACCGTGCTGCTGGAATTCCACATCAGGATTCGTTCCGTGCAACAGCGCCGCTGTTTCGACGCATGTCTTGTCCAACTCATCCAGGTGGAATGTTGGGACTTCCTCTGCCACAGGAACATCCTTGTTGTTGTTGTTGCCCGTCATCTCCTTGGCGACCAGGAGAACGGGGGTCTTCTTGGTGTTGGTGTTGGTGTTGTCGGTGGTCCAGGACCAGGAGAGCAGCTTGATCATAGAAGAAGAGAACTTCATTTTGCAATTGATAGGTATTGAATAGAAGATTGGTAGAAAAGGTAATTGAAAGTAGGGGGTTGATCTGGCCTAGGCTTATCAACAATCGCGAAAGTCTTCCTTGTTCGGTTGGGTATGCAACTCTAGCAATCCGGTTGAACAAAAAAGTGAGCTCGACATGGTGACCTCCAAATTGGGATGACAGATTCTGCCAGATGTTTGGGATGGCAGATTCTGCCAGATGGAAAATGACAGGTGACGAGATGAGACTGAGACACTGATGAGTACCGACTCTGGACCCGATAACCACCCTATATCACCCAACAACACACTTCCTGGGCCTTGTTGTGAAACTGTTCTGCATGAGCAGTGCAAACTGTGACTGGGTTCTACTCCCACATCGTACCTGGTATTCGTATCTATCCCATATCGTACCTGGTATTCGTATTTATGTTTTAGCACATGACCTGGTTCAGTGGAGTGCATGACCTGGTTCAGCAGGGAGAATTACGCAAGAAATTACATGAGCCATCAGGAATCAGCTTCAGAAAAATCTTGGGGCTCATAATTGACAAATAGTGAAAGTTGAAAACCAACTAGCTAGAGTCTAAAATACAGTATTCAAAAAACAGGGTAAGTGAAGCCCAAAGGAATATTGATTAAGTAGATCTGTGCTGCTGCTATCCTTGGACCACGAACTGCTTGGTGGAGTGGAAAGTTGCTGAGGACCGAAGTGGTCATCTTGCCTGCTAGCATTGACCGCTACCGTTATCACGCTTCCTTACTTTGAGTAGAACGAACTCCACACATCGGGTAGACATTTGGGTGTTCCTCTACGGAACAACAAGAAAGAATATTGATCGCTCAAGCACCGAATCATTTTCCTTCAATCAGCAAGCTTGTTAAGAGACAGTTGTCAACAGGTACTCGTCATAGGGCGATTCTTTGGTGAACGGGATTCTAGCAATTTTTCAGCGTTGGACTCTTAGAAAAACGTGAAAATGGAGGCGGAGGAAATGACAGTTGTAATCGCCTGAATGCGGAAAATCAAGGTACCAGGAGCTCCTATCATGACTTAACAATGACCACTGATGTACCTTAACCAATAGTGAACCCAGAGTGGTAACAGTAAACATCAATAATGGTATTGCCTGGACTGGTTTTGGAGCCATGATGAAAGGATAGTCCATTCAGTTACTCATGCATGCTAGCTGAATTAAAGAGCTTCAGGACTTTCGCAGTGTGAATGCTTTTGAGCGAGCCATCACTAGTCCTCTTCCAGATGAATACAAATTCTGCCTGTCTTCTTGGAGCTTGACCAAGTGCTTCCTGGATTGACTCATGGGACAAGTTCGGTGAGATTGCAGAAGACCGAGGTATCTCTTATCTATTTACCTATGTTGACAAGGTGAAAGGCAAGGAAGTCAAGCTTCTAGAGGAGTTTGGGTGTTTTACCGAAGATGTTGCCAAAGACTTGTGTGACCAGCTGTTGCAGAGTGGTGTTTACAATCTGGATGACTATGATGTTGCTGCCAAGTCATACGGACGTCACCAAGTGTGCAGTTATGACAAGGCCAATGTTAGCTATGCTGCTACCAGTTTGAAGGCTTCTGTATCAGGAAATGCTCTACACGTTGTGCCAAGATATCCTCAGGTCCCAGAATGGCATCATGATTCTGTATGATTTCCGTCGTGTCTGTTACTCCAACAATCCTGCAGTTGTCCGTACCATGACAGAATCCATTCAAAAGCAGCTTATCAAGAATGTTCCTGCTGAAAATGTTTGAAGACACAACAAAGAAGCTGAAGCAGCCCATATTGGAGGATCATTGAGGGAAGTGGCTTTGCTCCACCTGATATGGCTGCTTTGTACCTGGCTACTTTACATACAGCCTCTGACCTCAAATTGCAGATTGCCATTCAGGCCCAAGAAAACCTGGCCATCCAGAGTCCTGAGGCTTGGCGTGATGCCATGAAGGCCATTCATGCTTGTTGGCGCTCAGCATTGGATCGTGGACTATACTCTCCAGCTTTGAAGGCTCCACAAGGCAAACCTGATCCCATCAAGGCTCTGCAGGGTGTTGTCAATGGCTTGAAACAAGATGTTGGTAACCTTAAGATCGCAACAGTGCGAACATGGCAACAACACAACAACAATGGTAATAACAATCTGGGTGCGGTCGCATCGCAGTCCACTATATCTCACAGTGCAATGTGACAGGAGCACTCAGCTTGGCAACAATGGTGCAATCTAGTGAACATACTAAAGCATATAATCACAACAACAATGGAAACCAGAACAATGGTGACCGTCAGGCACGCCGCACCCCTCCCTCGGAAAATGAACCTCATACTCGCACCAGGAATGGTGTGGAGGAGTCCTGGTGTGACAAGTGCAAGTTCTGGACCAAGGGTGATAAGAAGCATCTAACTGCTGGACATAAGACTCGTGCTGAGTTACAGGCTGCCTCTGGCAGCAATGCTGGCCACTTGTCTGCTGTCCACACCCCTGCTATCCCAACTGCACCTTCCACAGCCACAGGCCTTGTTGCAGGAGCCCGTTTAAACATGTTGAGCGGGCAGTCCCCCCAATTCTGAGTGGACTGCTGATCGCTTTGCTTTTTATCAGATTTTGCTTCTATGTATGTGGTCGTCGGAGGTGAGACCGACGTTAAACAAATTCCACACACAGTCAAGCTTGAAAAGCCCGGTTCTGTGGTGTCTGCTGACCATTTCATGTCTGTTGACCCATGTCCACCATCCCTTTTCTTGAGACTCTGGCATGTCTTCTGGACAGTCTTGACCTTTTGGAGGGAGAGAGAGTGTGAAACAAAGACTTCAGCCTCTGGAACAATTCAGAAGGTTGGCTGCACATGGATATGCAATTGTGGACAGTGACATTTATGCTGAAGCCCAATTGCGTCCTGTTAGAAGAGGCTGCCGGATGAAACCATACCGTGTGTGGGAAACCCCATTGGACTATACTGATCCTCTTGATGATCATATGTTCTTTGATTGTCCTGAACCAGATGACCCAGAGCTGCTCCAACCAGACCCTGATCCAGACCCTGATCCTGATCCTGTGGTTGAATCTACACCTCCAACACCTTCAAAATTCATTCTTCCTGAGGTCAACCCCATATTGGGATTTCCAGCAGTCATGCACATTTACTCTGCCTACCTTTTCTGTAATGCTTGGTTTGGTATGATGTTGAGAATGTGTTCTTGTAATTGGAGGTCTTGGATGGACTATTGCTCTGTGACATTAAGGAATGTGTATCTCTGGTCACTTCGACAGGCTGAAAATGTGCCATGGCAGTGGAAAACACATCCACCTGACAAATGTGCTACCAGCAAAAGTAGAAAGCGTGCTGAAAGGAGGCGTCGCCTTGGTAAACAAGAGGCGCTCACAGAAAAACTTGCTCCTGGCTGCCTTCTCACGCTGAATATGCATGCCCATGGTGATTTGTCATTGAAGTCTGAAATTGCTGACCGAAAATATCTTCGCAAGTTCCGTGGTTACTATGGAGAATTGAAAACTGAAAAGCTAACACCATCTGCTCGAGACAGACTCCGTGGCACTCTTGCACATCAGCCAAATGCATTCATTGCTACTGCTGGTGCTGACAAAACTGAGAGAGCTGTCTGGGACACTGGTGCAACCTTTCCAGCAGCCAACAAAAGATCCTTATTCAAACCTGGTTCTCTTCGTGAGTTACCTATTCACCAGACTATGAGTGGAATTGCTGGAGGAATTGAGATCAAATATGAAGGCATGCTATGTTTTGAGACTGTGTCAGATGAAGGCAACATTGTAACAATTGAATCTCCTGGGTACTATATTCCAGAGCTTCCTGTGACATTGCTGTGCCCCAGAGCAATTGCTCACCATCAATGGGCACTTGACACTTCTCAGTCTAAGAAAATGTTTGGTCATTTCTTTGGCATTGATGATTCCATGTTGAAGTTGGGTGAGGGTCAGAACTTTACAGTCCCATATGACAGGGAAACTTTCCTCCCAACTATGAATCTGTTCCCAGCTGGTACTGCTGAGCCTACATTGAAAGCAATGGTGTCAGTTGCTGATGAGAGCAATCAGAACTTGAGCAAGCAATTGAAGAGACTACTTCGCTGGCACTTCAAGTTGGGACATATGGGTTTCCAACACTTGTGTACATTGGGTTCTCGTGGCTTCCTAGACCAAGCTGCAGTGCAATTTGGAAAGTTGCTTGGAACAAGCACTCCTAAGTGTGCTGCCTGTCAATTTGGCAAGCAAGTCAGAACACCTACTGGAACAGAACACTCCCACCGTGACAAGGCTTTCAGCCTGCGAAAGGAGCTCCAACCTGGTGAGATGATCCATATGGACCAAGTGGAATCCCGCACTAAGGGTAGATTGTTGACTTCCTATGGAAGGGAGAAGATTTTCACGAACACACAGTGCAGTCACCTCTTTGTGATGCTGCATCACTCTTCATTGATGTCCAACATCAAGTTGCACTCTCAGCAAATGAAACACTGAAATCCAAGCAGACTTTTGAAAGACTTTCAGCCGACATGGGTGTGTCTGTCAGAAAGTTCCATACTGACAATGGTGTGTTCACAGCTCAGGAATTTATGAAGGAGCTTACATCCAAGGGTCAAGGAATCAGATTCAGTGGAGTTGGTGCTCATCATCAGAATGGACTGGCTGAAGCTGCTGTGAAGATTGTCACTTGGAAGGCTAGGACAATGATGATCCATGCTTCCCTTCATTGGCCTCAAGCATACAGCAAGGACCTTTGGCCTTCGGCTGTGAGTCATGCAGCCTTCATCCACAACCACACTCCAGACAAAGAAACTGGTATCTCTCCAGCTGAACTCTACTCAAAATCCATTGATAGCTATCTGTAACTCCCACCTACATCCTGGGCTGTCCCTCTCATATGTTTTGGACCCCGCCTCAGTGGCAAGAAGTTCCGATGGGATCTCGTACACGGAAGCTGGGCAGTACTTGGAATGTACCTAACCTGCTGATTTGTTGCCTTGAATTGCAACTGCAGCAGGTATCCAAATCTACCCACATTTCCATGTTGTATTTGGCCAATTGGTTGCCAGTCCATTCCACCCTCCAATCATGGAGAAGCCTCCTGATTGGAGTGACATGTGCATTTATGACAGATTGGAAGTTGAGCTGGTTGACGACAACAACCCAAAAGCAACTGCTCCTCAATTGAGTGAAGAATGGGCCACCACTAGAAGACAGCCAACCCCACATCAAGGCAGCCCACTTTGGCAAGATGTGGATCCCAACCTGAAACAGTAAGAGAAAGACATGATGTCTGGCCGTCAGAGGGAGCGGTCTGCCAAATTGGAGGGAGTGAACAATTTTGTGAAATTGGAATCTGACACTACCACTGAGCGCCTTTTTAGAGAAGGAGGATGCTGCTATTGTTATTGATCTGACTGGTGATGACTCAGCTGATCAGTCCACTAGTGAAAAACCATCTGAACCTGCTTTGGGTCGTGGGATGCGTGTGAAAAGACCAGCACGTGAATTGAATCCTACCAGTGGCAAGTGGGAACCAAAGACTGGTGCATATGCCAGAGCTGTGGGCTTTCTATTGATGATGCAAGGAAATGGTGCTGATTCCCAAGTAAAGGATTTGATGTACTTCTGTTCCCTGTACACTGATATGGAGCAAGGTTACTTGGAGGCTGCACATCCTATGGCCATGTTGTTTCCAACAGGCTTTCGGCTGCTAAGAAGAAAAGTCATGATGAGTCACCGTCTCGTACTCTCTTAGAATGCTTGTGACTGAAGCTCACTTTGGCACGCTTGAAGCAAGCAAGGGACAAGGAAATTGATTCATTAGAGAAGATGCAAGTTTGGGATGTTGTACACCGTGCTAAGTTGCCTAAGAGTTCCAACATCATTCATGGAACTTGGGCATTCAAAATCAGGCTCGTCCTAGGACTTAGGCTCGACTAGTTAGATCAATGCTAGTCCGTACTGCACCAGTCAGCGTGGCTCGTGTTATGTTAGCTAGGGTTTTATATGTTTTGATACATATGCCCCTATTGTGTGGCCAGACTTGCTTGGAATGGGCCCACAGTGGAGAAGTCAGAGCTTACTTGCATCTAACTGTTCACTCATTGCACCAGTCGCACTCCATCGTCAGTCTCACATGACTACACCAATGCATTCTGTCAAGCTGCTCAGGAGAATGATGTCTACATTGAGTTGCCTGCACACTACACTGTGAATGGTAGAGAAGATTAAGACTTGGTGTTGCACCTAATGAAATCTTCTATGGCAACAGGACGCTCCTAGATTATTTTTTAAGCACCTTGAAAAGGGACTGACTGACAATGGGTTTGTTGCCAGTAAGCATGACCCATTTCTCTTCATCCACAAGGACATGATTGCAGTCACGTATGTTGATGACCAATTCATGATTGGCAAGGACCTGAACAAGATCAATGCTATGGTAGAGAAACTGCGCTCTGATGGATATTCCCTGGAAGAGGAGAAATCTGATGATGCCAATGTTTACTCTTACCTTGGTATTAACATTGACAAGAAGCCTGGGGATGATACCATTGTGATGACACAGTCTGGTCTCACTCAGAAATTCTTGAAGTATGTTGATATGAATGAATGTTCATCCAAGGACACACCTGCCAATATTGAGCCTCTTGGAACTGACAAGTTTGGAAAGCAATTCCAAGAGAGTTGGAGTTATGCATCTGCTGTGGGCATGCTCTTGTACCTGTCCTCCAACACACGTCCTGATATCCAGTTTGCTGTCCATCAATGTGCAAGGTTCACCCACAATCCCAAGAATTCCCATGCAGTTGCAATTAAGAGAATTGCTCGGTACCTCAAGGGCACCAGTGACAAAGGTCTGATCTTGAAACCTGATACCTCCAAAGGATTGGACTGTTGGGTTGATGCTGACTTTGCTGGGCTATGGGGACATGAGGATGATCAAGATCCTGTATGTGTGAAGTCTCGCACTGGATATGTGATTACCATGTTCAATTGTCCTTTGGTGTGGGCATCCAAGTTGCAAACTGAGATTACCCTCAGCAGCACTGCTAGTGAGTATGTTGCTTTCAGCACTGCAATGAGGGAACTTTGCCTTTGAGGGAGCTAATGGCTGAGATTGGTGATGCATTGGGCACTGAGGTCAGGAAGGTTAGTGAAATGAAGTCTACAGTATTTGAAGACAACACAAGCTGCCTATCCTTGATCAATGTCCCAAAGGTGTCCACCAAGAACAAGTACTTGGCTCTGAAATATCACTGGTTCCGCAGCAAGATTGGTCTGGACAAGAATGGCAATGGAATTGTTGCTGTCCATGTGGAGACCAAGAAGCAGTTGGCGGATCAGTTCACCAAGGGATTGGCTGTTGGCCAATTCCAAGTATTAAGAAAGATGTTGATGGGGTGGTAAGGCTCTGAAGTCAGTCTTCGTTTGAGAAGGAGTGTTGTGAAACTGTTCTGCATGAGCAGTGCAAACTGTGACTGGGTTCTACTCCCACATCGTACCTGGTATTCGTATCTATCCCATATCGTACCTGGTATTCGTATTTATGTTTTAGCACATGACCTGGTCAGCTGGAGTGCATGACCTGGTCAGCAGGAATTACGCAAGATTAGAATAGGAAAGCTCAGAATCTGAGCTCATAATTGACAAATAGTGAAGGTTGAAAACCAACTAGCTAGAGTCTACAATACAGTATTCAAACAGGCCTCGCTCCCTTGGTTACTGTTGCCTGTTTGCTTGCTTGTTGCGGTTGTTGCCGTTTGCCGCGTGTTGTTGGTGCGGTGGTGCTGCGGAGGCTGCGGAGCTGGGGTGTCGAATGGTTCAATCATTGAATTAACGGGGTCATTGACAGGACTAAACGCGTTAAGGATATCCACGACTAGATGACACCACCTTCCACTGGACGCAGGGCGAGGAGACTCAAGTCGAGTCACTCGATTCGATTCGATTCATGATATCAAGCCGCAAGACCCAAAGTGGTCGCGATGTCCTCCATGTGAGGGCCGTGAAACGAATCTCAAGCTTTGAAAAAGTACACTGATGCGTTGAACCTAAAAGCGAATGTCGCTCGAGTCTACCTAGTTTGCTAGCTAGCTAGCTAGCTAGGTGTGGGAGGGCAGCCATTGTCTCATTTTGAATTGGAGAAAATTCGAAGCATTTGCAAATTCAAACTCCGGTACTTGTCCGTGACAAAATTGTTCGAAATTGTCTTTCCCAGTGTTCTTGGCGCCTTCCTTCTAGCTAGCAATCGTCATTGCGTTTCTTTTACGCACGCTGGTCTATCTGTGCCGACTTTGCTACCCAACGTACGGTCTCATGAGTGCCAAGGTATCATTTGATCCTGTTATAAGCTGAGGTGTGCTCTGAACCTTGGCCGGAACCAATCTCGAGAGAAGAGCTATTGGGCCCCACACTTGAGACCAAAAGGGTCATTTGGGCCTATTGGGGTCAAGGAGCAGAGGGCTGTCCAGGCTTCTGCAAGGTGGCAATGAAATCATGGAGACTCCGCCATCCAGACGGGCGCATCGTCGTTCTTTCGGAGGACACCTACAAGAAGTATGTTGCCTTCACGGATATTCCTTTGAGCATTCGGCATTCTCTCACGTGTCGTTTTGCTTTGGACACCCGGACATCGACATCGGTCCGTTCAAGGTAGTGGCGACCCTGTGAAGGGAAAGGACGTGTTTCCACGTATTCATAACATCTTTCCTGCGTTCATACCAAATAGTGGGGAGCTGCTTCCAACTTACGTTACCTAACTCAACCATTAAAAATTGAATGCATGTCATCAGCTACAAAAGGCATCCAGTCCAAACTAGTAATGCGATTTTCACTTTGCATGTCTGTAAAGGCCGGGACTTGTCGGCTTGTACGTCGAGGCTGCGATTCCCTTTTCTTGGTTCCGCCGAGCTTCACAGGGCGGACGACGTGGATTGGCGAACGTTCTTGTCGCGATGCTTCTTGTTGCTGTTTGGCCTTCCAAGCTCTGCCACTGTCGTGGACTGGGACAATAAGGGCTTCAGCTTCTCCTTGTGGCGTGTGCTCTCTCTTTCTCACCCTTTCACATGGGCGGGCTGCTGCTGCTCCTTCTTGGGACTGTGGAGGATCTTTTAGGCTACCGGTACAAGCTAGCTATGTCGTCAATCTACAAGCCATGGGCGCGCTCAACCGCCGACGCACCACTCAGGTAGCGCAGTCTCTGTAGGCGCATATTTTTCTTGGCTGCTAGAATAACACCTGTGAACGCAAGAAGTGCCAGTACAATGGATTGTACGTCAACAACAGGGCCAAGAGATGCCATTGACTTCGAATCCATGTTTGCAGCCGTTTCGGCTGGAGATGAAACATTGGCAAGGGAGGCGGCACCTTCCAATCTGATTCGACTAGGGAGCAAACCTGGAGTGGAGAAACCTTTGCCCGTATTGTCAGAGGTTACGGCTTGGTTTACCCTGCTGCTGTTGATAGGAGTTTCCTTTGGGGTGATGTCGTGTGGTTTGGGGAGTGTTGCAGCTTGAGTTGGCAAGGAGTCCGAAGGGATCAGCACTGTCCCCTTGTCTATGCTGATATCGATCCCAGTCTGGGAAGTGTCATTGCTCTTGGCCTGGCTTGCTTCCCCCTTATCCCCGCTGTGGGTGGTTGTCACTTTGGGGAACGAGTCTGGATTTCTGCTGATTGTGGCGGGCCCCGTGGTAGACGACAAATTTGCCTTGTTGCTCTTCGTTCCTGCCTTGCTGGTAGACCCAGAATGAGATTTGAGCTCCTCGCTGAAACTTCGCGACTCGGCATCCTCCGGCCTGCACAGTGCCATGTGGTTAGATCTTTTGCAACGACAAAGATCAAACACAACAACAAAAATCTTACCAATAGATGAGTCGCAGATACTTGTACAGGATTGCCTCATCATAGCGAGACAGACTCCCTCTCTCTTCCAACCAACAAGCAGAACATTCCTTTGCGGATGGCCACATGGCATTCTGTTCTTGTTCTGCTGTGGTCGTGGTTGTTGTAGATTGTCGCGTTCGTTGCAGTCGGACATTGACCCCATTGTGCGTTTCCGCCAACCAAAGCGGGAGCTGCTGCCAGTTTTTGTGTTGGACTAGTCTCTCACAGCGATGATAGGTACAATTGTTGTACTCTTGTACAAAATGTCGCGTGCATTCTTGACAAATGAAAAAGGTTTCTATAAAATCCTTGATCGTGTCGGCCGCCGCCACCATGTTAAAGTACGCTTGTTTGTTGTCTTGTTGTTGTGGTGGTACGTGTCGATTGTATTCTGTGACTCCCACCGTCACAATATGAAACAGGCTCCACAAACCGCATGTATACTCGCTGCCATGTTGTTGACAGGCTGGACTCCAATCAGAGGAAATTGGCGCAAACCGTTCCAGAGTCGATTCCCAGACCCGTTCGTGGTAGACAATGCGGTTGAAATCCAACAAGAGCTTGTCAAGGAGGGCGTGGAACAGTTTCCAAGGGGGTAGTGCATCTTGCAATAGCTCCAGAAACGCCTTGAGTTTGACCTTTCGGTCTTTGGCCAGTGGCCCCTCTGCCATAAAGACGCTGTCTTTCATGGTTCGAAAGAAGGACAGATAGGCGTCTGTAAAGACTTCCGTTTGTGTGCGAGTCAGAATCCGAGACGAGCTCCTGGACAACGGTGGAGTAGCAGCTTTCTTCTTTTTGATTGGTACTAGTAATTTGTCTCTGTTGTTGTTTTTGGCTGTCCTTGACACGACGTGTTTTCCAGGTGGTCTCCTGATCCTGTTGTTACTACCAGCTGGAACTTGTGGTTGTGGTGGTAGATTTGGCAATGATGGAACAGCTTCAGCACCCAAAATAGTGGCCAATTTGAAGGCATGCAACTGATAATCCTGGAGTTGCACAGCCGCTGCCGATGTCTTGTACGCCGGAATGACCTTGATGGTGGGATAGTTTCGAATGCTCTCTTGTCGACAAACAGTCTTGTGGACCGAACAAGACACGGCATGAAATTGTACGTTGCCAAGGGAAGCACTGCTGTGTTGAGTTTTTGCTGTCCAATTGCCAAAGTCATTGGCAAATTGCACGTACTGTGGCGCAAATGCCTGACAATGAGGACACGTGGGGGAATAGAATTCCACGACGCGAGGGTGGTCCATCGTGTCACTCGACAAAAAGTCAGGAATCGAATCCTTATTATTCGTGTCGTCTGAGTAGTAGTCCATCACAGGAAGTGCCTTTGTGGGTGGATTCATGCTGCGATACAAATACTCCTGGATGGCTGCTGCCGTCAAAGGCAATTGTAGTAGAAGAAGGAGCCACCAAAAGAAAACAACGGGAGAGTAGATGGGCGACATTTTCAAGAATCTTTTGGCTGAATCATCTCTCATCATCTCTCAAGGATTTTCATACTGCAACCATAGTGGCCGTTGGCTTCGCTTTGTATCTTGATATCTGTCTTGATGTTCGCCTTTGTGACAAGGGACCAAGACCTTGGGCATCTATTGCTGTGTCTTGGCTTCTCGGGGTCGGCCTTCAAGAGAACAGATCCTGGATTTAATAAAGCCAGCGCATCCGGCAATTTGCACCCGCTCCCCTAGGGCTCTCTCTTGGGATCAAGCACAAACAAAGACCAAAAAGGCCGCACTCTGCGAGAGGAGCCAAAACCAGCTGGTGGTTGGCAATCACGAGGTGAACCTCCCGGGACTCGCTAGAACGAGGTAGACG